ATTGGTTTTGATTGGATTTTTGCGTTTGGTAGGGTTAATTTTGAAAAAAGTGGAATGGTTAGTTGTTAGTGTAATTTTTTATTAGAATAATATTTAAAATAAAATAATTAAAGTTGATTTGACGTAAAAGTAGGAGAGAGGTGATATGAAATGATGGTTTGTTAAAATTATGTGGGTGGATAAATAGTGAATTAAGGTTGATGTAATATGTAAGAATGATTGATTGATATTATTTAATTTTATTGATAATATTGAAGATAGTGGAGTGGAGTTGAAGTTGAGTTAGATAAGAGGTAAAATGAGTGATTGGTTGAAAATGATTGGATATTTTTAGATAAATTTGTATCCAAGCATCCCCTTAAATCACTACCACTATTTGTTGAGTAGTTTTTGAAAGTGGCTCCGTCAGTTATTTATGTGCTATCAAATGATTGATTTTATGAGAGGTGTCCAATGCTTTCTACTGGAAGTGCGAAGGTCCACGGCATGTAGTGGCCTGAGTAAAATCTCTCTCTCTCTCTCTCTCTCTCTCTCTCTCTCTCTCTGTCTCTATCTATCTCTCTCATCCTCTCTGTATCCAACCTCTATCTAGGAGCAGATTTTTAGATTAATAAATTAATCATTATTCTTTTTGGCATCCCTTTCACTGATACATCTTAATGAGTGAGGAGACAAATTTTGAGGACTTAAATTTTTGGGTGCAAAAGTACCTTTCTGTAGTTTACTGTTAGTGTACTGACTTGTTGTCTTCAATTGTAGGAGATTTTTGGTGATGTTGTTAATCCGTTGAGAACAAATTCCGCGGAACGAGGGGGTATAGCCAATATTCCATCTGAAGATGCCCAGACAGAGCCTCTATTCGGGTCTATACTTTGGTTCTTTACCCTTTATAATTGACGTTGTGTTTGAAAACTGTGATCATCTTGCTTAATTTTGGATACTGTTTTGTGCTCATGGTCTCCAGTAAGCGAGGTTTCAGTTCCTCGAGGAAATGCCAATGCTGTTATGAACCTGATGGAGGTAAGGGGTGATAAGGTCTTTATGATTAAATGATCGTCAATAAAGTTGTTAATTCTCTGGTTAATCATCTATCACGGTTTATGTCCACTTTATGATCATCCCTATTATAAGGTATGGATGCTTGTTGCGTTTTTAATCAAGTTATCATTTACTTGCATTTTCGTGTGAAATTAATTTCAAGAGCTCAATGCCTATGTCCACAATACAAAATCCTCATAGAATGACCTCAAATTGTGAGTTTAGGATGGAGATTCCTTGTAGAATGTCCCAAAAAAATTGAAGTGGTTCACCAATCTTAACAAGGACTTATTTAATGTGCATTAATACTTTGTAGAGAGCCAAAGCATCAGGGTAACAAAGACGATGGTGACGGACCCGACTCTCGACGATGACAGGTGGGGATTGTTTGTAATGTACAAGCGCAAGTTTTGGTTCGAAAAGGAGAATTATGAGGTCCCTGAATCCTATTTCTACCAGACCGGCGAGGAGATTCGGCCCAATACCATCGAGCTGGTCAAGGGATTCCTCAAACAAGTCCGCGAATCCAGGGTATCTATCCGTAAAATCCTTCTTCTCCTTCTCTGGTGGTTGTTTTTTTTTTTTGGTTGAAATCCGATTGTTTATAATTAGGGTTTTGCTCGCCTAATGGGTCCTGTTTTTTTCATCCTTAATTTAATGTGTTTGGGGCGCTCTGATTTGCTGCATCTGGCTTATATACTCGTTAATTTTGTTTAATGATATATTTTATGTTGGTTTGTCTTATTTAGTTTTGTTTTGTTGTTTGTTTTCTCAAATCAGGTTTATGCTTTGTTTGCTATGTTGTACATGGATGTGTGTGTATTAGTTGTTAGCTGATGCAGAATTTGAGAGTTGATGTAAAAGGATTTTTAACTATAGCAGGATTGCTTTTGATTGTCATTTGTCACTTATATATGATTGTTAATTCTATTGTATTTTATTAGTGAACAAGCATCAAAACTATTTGCAGGGCTCTGTTGTTTGATTGAAATGGATGATGAGCTGCTTCTGATTTTTGTAGGGTTATGACGTGGATTGCTGCCCACCTCGAATGTTTGAATCTCCATTCGCACCACTTCCACTGGAAGAGATGCACCAGGGTACAAGAGATATTGATAAATTCGGCTATGCTAGAGTTGTCGAAGCAGCTGAGTGTGCAATTCAGAAAATCAGTGAAGAGACTGTGCGTTTCTGATATGTCCTTAATATATTTTGCTTTGTAATGTTATCACCTCAAATGAACGTCATACTAGCCTTATTTTGCTTATTTTTTATTGTCTACTAAAAATCCAAATTACAACAACAGGGTCACAGTTACAAGCTTGTGAAAGTCGAGAAGGCTGTCCTGACCAGGGCCTTGGTGTTATTCTTGACTTTGACTGCCGAGGAAGATGCTGGCCCTGTGCAAACTATTCAAGCCGCGGTCTACCACCCCCTTGGTGGCAATCCAGTCCTTGAAGAGTGGAGGTTCAAACCACTCCCTGCCCATTGACATTGTTGTCAAATTTAAGGTTTAGTTATAGTTGTCCATGCCTCCCTACCGTGACCTATCCTTATGCTTATATAATATATGAATGTTCGTAGTATTGTTATCCATGAATTTAGACTTGTCTTGAGACTTGTGGCTTGTAATCAGTTACTGGTAGCTAATGCATGTGATGGAGCTGTCACTTATTATTCTCTTGTTTGTTTATTTTCTCTGAATCTGTTGAATAATTTTGTTATTACTGTCTTCTCAAAGGAATTGCTTCCTTAATCGTTTTATGATGACGGCATAAGGACAATATATGGGGAACTCAACCTTACTGCACCTAGTAAAAACTTCTGTTGGTATCGGCTTGTTCTTCTTCCATTTTCAAAACAAATGTTTTTACACAAGACAATTGTGATATATTTCAATCTTGAGAAAATATTTTATGTAGGCATTGTATCTCAAACCAAGTTAGTTATCTTGTAAAAAATGCCTCTTATAATTTAAATATTTTTGTTGAATGTACTGTATATGTGTTATTTTTAGGATTTTTTTATTTAAAATAATAATAATAATAATTGAACAAAAATAAAAAGAAAAAAAAAGACTGGACAAAAATCAAAACGGCGAATTCCGGGGATATGTTTTACATTGTAAAACGTATTTTCATAATACGTTTTATAAATAAAATTAATTTTATGATTTACATTTATTTATAAAACGTATTTTGAACATACGTTTTACAATTAATTAATTCTAAAACGTATGTTCAAAATACGTTTTACAAATAAATGTAACGAATAGTTTATATTTAAATATAAAACGTATTTCCATAATACGTTTTACAATGAATTAATTGTAAAACGTATTACGAAAATACGTTTTAGAAATAAAATTTATTATTTATATTTTTTTTTTTATTTTTGGCTATATATTAACTTATTTAATTAGGCGATCTTGCGGTGTTCCGTAGTGAGTCGAGCATTAACGAAAAGTATTTTCGAGAGAGCACGCAAAGAGGAGAAGCCGTTTGTGGCGTCGATTTACTATTTCGAGGTCCCGATCATTTATTTAGAAAAGCTCGAGTTCAAGGGTGCATATTAATAAAATAAATGAAAAAGCCGTTTACATAGGTCCTACAAGGACGCGTATGACTTCTGTTTACCAAGAATCGAGTTGGGACGTGTAGATAATTTATGCACGATATCATGCGGGGCATTTATCGAGTATTTCGGAGTTCCGAACATTTAATTAGAGAAACTTGAATTCCAGTGGGAATAGATTGCTATATATATATTAGCTTATTTAATATGGCGACCTTGCGGTGTTCCGTCGGACTAATTCGAGTTCGATTACAATATAATTGACCGAGATTGTACTAATTTAACTTCAATTGGACTAATTCTAGTTTAATTAGACTAATTCGAGTTCAATTAGACTAATTTCAGTTCAATTGTACTAATTTGAGTTCAATTGGACTAATTCGAGTTCGATTACAATATATTTGTACTAGTTTGACTTCAATTGAACTAAATCTAGTTCAACCGGACTAATTCGTGTTCAATTTGACTAATTCGAGTTCGATTACAATATATTTGTCCGAAATTGTACTAATTGGAACTCAATTGGACCAATTCGAGTTCGATTACACTATAATTGACCGAGATTGTACTAATTTGACTTCAATTGGACTAATTCGAGTTCAATTGTACTGATTGACTTAAATTGTACAAATTTGACTTCAATTGTACTAATTTGAGTTCAATTGGACTAATTCGAGTTCGATTACACTATAATTGATCGCGGTTGTACTAATTTGACTTCAATTGGACTAATTCTAGTTCTATTGGACTAATTCGAGT